GTAGGGGGATACCATGCAATAATTCAAATATAGGGTGTCTGCATAAATTAACAAGCGTGAGTGAATAAAAACAATTTGTTTGGTTTTTATTCACTTTCTGATTAACACCGCATTGTTTTTTTTTGGTTTTTTTTTTTAATTTCGTGGCAATGTTCTCGTTTGTATGTGCTTAAACATCTCAGTTCTAACCTTTCTGAATGATCTGTAGTCTTATACATGCATTCTCACACAGGAGTGAGAAAGCCAGGGGTTCGCCGGTCCGCTTTTCCTAAGTTCGTGCAACGCAGCGAATACACTACTGGGAAGAAGCCGCTATGCAAGTGGAGCAGACCGAAGTCCATAACTTAACATGACGAACCTGTTAAAGGTTATTCACTCTGAGCAACAGAAAATCCGAAGGTACACTCAGCAAAAGCAATATATTGTTGTCGGCTGCCAATTGGCGCTGGAAATCGAAATCTATTTAAGTCAATGAGGAATTCAATGTTTCGATAGAATGCATGCAAATATTTGCCGCGGAGAAAAGAACCGGCGGCTGCTATCGATGACTGTTGATAATGTTGGGTTGGACGAACGCCGGACAAGCTTTGACTGTTCCTGTTCCTTGTGCTTTGATTCTACCAGAACAGCGTGTGGCCAGAATCGGCTGATAAGAAGAAGTGGAGAACACCGATACGCAAGACACGCGATAGCCTTAGTGCAGCTGGTAGACCCCTAAATGACTGCCTGCTACCAGTCAGGCTGCTACATCACAGTTGTGCTCGCATCACCATTCTGTGACGCTCCGATCTTTCCTTCCGCCAATCGTAAACAATTTGCCCGTGCGACAATGATGAAACAATTCGACTGCGAACGACATCTAGTGTGAACTTTTGAGCGCGGCGCGTGCCAGGCGGGCGCCTGGCGGCGACCCGTACAACGGTGTGACGCCGGGCTGCCGCCCGATGAATCACGAGTGTATTATTACAGGCGGGTAAAACATACACAGGGACGAGATGAGCGATTGGCTCGTTCAAACCTCCGGAGGTGCGCGGTATCGCTCCGTGAGGCTCAAAATAGCTCCGGTAAAATTTTTGACAGAGAGCTGATTTTCTTCCCAGACTTAAAAAAAAGCTCCAGGAGAAAAAAAAAGTAATAACAGATTTTTCCCCTGACCAAATTTTTCCTGACGATATTTCTCCCGGACATTTTTTTAATTTTTCCCTGACATAATTTTTCCCCTGACTTCCATGACATCAGCGCGTGTTATTATAGGTCTTATTATAGTACTCCCAATATCGATCACAAGGTGTGTATGAGTTTACACTGTTACAGTTACAGTCTATATTATACGACCTGATACATTTTCTGTGCGTGTACTTGCATCGTATATCAATATCTTCTTGAAGGGCTAAAGGTAGAGAGATACCGTCTACGAAGGTAGCTGAAGCACGGTAAGCGTGTTTCCTGATGCAGGCATCGAAAGCTCGGTGAACAGCGAGATTTTGACTCGTCTGAGACGCTCATTCCGAGAATAACAGAAGAGGCGAGCGCACATTCTGCCCATACTCATTCGTTTTGTCAGCCTAGATCGCAGTCACCCGAAAGACGGCAAGCACATATCATACTTCGACTCGCTGGTTGGCGCTGAAGACCCAGCAGTCGACCCGCATTACCTTGCCGACCGCCAACTCACGGCGCCAGAGAAATGACAGCTTTGAAGCGGTTCTTCCGCTGCAACGAGCAGAACCGTTAGCAAGGGTGCAGAAGGTTGTTGGAGCTGAAGACCAGTGACGCTTGATGCAGTGAAGGCACCAGAATCTTCGAAGAACGTGACAGGTGATGCGTGAGGAGAGAGACATCGCAAATGATCTGCAGGGAAGTGGGTAGAGCAAACGAGTGGAGGAAAGGAGCGCAGGAGCAGCAGGGAGGAGAGGAGGAGGAGGAGGGAGGAGCGAGGAGGCAGGTCGAGGAGTGATGCGAAAGGGGAAGGAGAAGGGAGGAGGAGGCAGGGGGGAAGGAGGAAGAGGAGAGATGGGTGAGGAGGAGAGTTGGAGGTAGGAGGAGGATGAGCAACTTGAGGGAAAAGCTAGGAGGGGTGGGTCGGGGTGTAAATGATTGTTATATATAATGGTTGTGGCTGGCGGGAGTGTCGGCGTGGGAATGGGGAGGCCAGACAGGTGCGCAGGGTGTGGGACGGAGGTGAGTCGATGGAACTGTGTGCCAGGATAGTGGGTGGAGAGGTTGTCTACATTAATTTACAGTTTGCACCTGAGACCTTTCCGGGGAGTATTGCATATCGTGCACTACTTTTCACTCAAATTAGCGCTCAAGCATGCTTCACTTTGGCTTTGAAGTGCAATACATGAACGAGACGCGACGCAGAGAAGGCAGTCACTACAATTTAGAACGAGATGTGTTTGCCAAAAAATGCCGTTGAACGGTGTGGCTTGCATGCTTTCAGCCGGTCGTGGATAGGTTCTGCCGTACACAATTGGTTTCGCAGATAAGATTACAATTTTACATCCCCATGCAAGCACTCACTCTCCCTCAGGCTGTTCATGCTTGGCACACCTCACGAGGAAAATCCTCAAATTGATTACCACCCATTAATCTCTCCATAATACGTGTAACCGTTGTGAGAGGGTGTTCTTGCATTTGAACAACTTGTTTTTCCGTTACAAGAATACAAATGAACGGGTACTTGAATACAATGATCGCACATCTCACGTTACCATGCAAGCTGTATAGAAAAATGCTGGTCTGCGATGTAGAACTTGTTATAAGCTGTCTGGTTTGAAACGCCCTGGGGTGGAACTTTTTTATCACTTGGCTCAAACAATGGTGTGCTAAACTCACTGGTAGCACCCACCGCTCTTACCAACCTGTTTTCCTCGCTTTCTGAAACACTAATTAGTAACAAAGAAAAACTTAAACTGGCGCTACTGCTAGCCTGGCACTGACGATGGAGCATTTGAGGCCAGGTGGCGCTACTGACGGTTATCTGAAGCCAGGTATGGCACCACTGTCGATAGCCACATACAAAATACAATATACATATACAATGAAACCCGTATATCAGGATAACACACAAAAAATGCCAAAAGTGTGTTTTAGAGACAGCTGAATTACTGTATGGCTGGCACTCGAGGGATATGTCAAAAGTGCCCTTTATAACGGCCGACTATTCTGTAGGGGTGGACGCTAACACAGGTTAAAAAATCATACTAACGATTCCTAATAACGATATATACACGAAATAACCCTCTCGCCGGCATAAACACACGCACGCGCGATTAATTGTTGAACAACCTTGCCACTGGCACACATACACGTATATTGTACTGCAAAATAAAGCAAACCCTTCCCTTATCTCTACGTGCCGCGCGTTCTATTTCTCGATCGACTTTTTTAAGTAGTTTTATCGGTCGTGACAACATCCTGGTTGCTTCTGTTACGTGATTGGTCGGCCGCTTGCGCGGTTCCGCCTGCATGCTCACGCGGCAGCAACAGCAACAGCAGCGGCAGCAGCAGCAGCAGCAGCGGCAGCAGCGGTAGCAGCAGCAGCAGCAGCAGCGGCTGCACCTCGCGCTATTCGTTCTTTCTTGAATCGCGCGTTTACTAGCACTGCCATGTTCTGGCGTTCGCTGGCACGGCGCCAAGATCCCTCTAAGTATTACACGCTAGCTGGCGTGTTGTTGATGGGTCGTATGTCATGGTTGGTTGTAGGGATTTAGTAGTAGCTGCAGCACCATCAATGCGAGACCACACCGGCAACCTGTTTTCTATTTACCCGAAGGCGACCCCTGTCGGCCTGCTCGTGACGTTCGGCTGTGCAATTTAATTTTTTTTTTTACACAATTTGTAATTGGTTATAATGATTTTCGCCATAGTGCTTAAATCTCTTAGGGAAATTTGCGAGGTTATATTTATTGGCCGCTCGTGGTGCATCATAAACTGATTCGCGGTGCAGATTAAACCTGAGGGTTTTATTACTTGTGGGCGTGCATCTAATATAGCGATTCAACGCACATGTGCTTTCGGTGGTGGCACACGGGAAAGAAAGCGTACGAAGCTATAATAATATGTAAGAATGTGACGCGATATTTCACTGTCGTGGCGCTAAAACAAGACTGCATTGAATCCGCTGTTATGCTCCCGCTGTTAACAGCCACCGCTTTTCCGTATAAGCTGGCAGTTATTGCTAGCCCCGCGAAGCTGCAAAATAAAGTGTGCATGACGTCACGTGTGCGCAGCATCCGTGGCTATATTTATCGTAAACGCTTACTGATGCTGCAGCGATCGCAGCCCTAAATTCACCGCCGCGCTGAAATCCTAGATTGAGACGCTCTGCTAGCTGTTAGCGGATATTTCCTGCTCGGAGCGGAAAACCAGTGAGTGTAAATCAGCGAGCGCTTGTATAACTTCTGCAGAGCCGGGCCGACGTTAACGGAGTCTCGTCGTTGTGGCAGCAAGGTGATGGAGGCGGACGACAACGAGGGGTCGCCACCGGCGACCAACTGCAGCACTCCGCTGCAGCAGAGGTAGGTCACGTGTCGAGGCCCGTCACCCGGTCGCGAAACGGTATCGGACGTCGTTTAATCTATGACGTAGTAGGCGTACTAACGAATAGAGTCTACATGACGTTACCCCTGCAGACCCACTGCTACTAAAAAGTTGTTGATTTATTAAATTATTTTTTCTGGGCTTGCAAACGGGGGGGGCGTACGACGGCTCCGCCCTATGCTGGATACGTCACTGAGTCACGTGTCGATGCCGTCACTCGGTCGCGTCGTCGGCGAAACGATATCGGTCGTCGTCCCGGGGGTGAGGGTGGGGAGTCGTCCCGGGGGTGAGGGTGGGGGGTCGAATCACGCGCTGGGCCAGCCCTTCTTTGCGTTTATATTATATCTGGCACTGTCAGAGGCGCGTGATGCCTGCCGCTCATGCTTGTTTGCGCGGTGGGTACAGATCCTGTGCGGGTGCGGGTAGGCACTCGATGCAACTCACTGAACCGAGGTCTGTGTTTAGATGTGCGTATGCTGCGTACAACTGCGTATCAGGGTGACAAAATATAAAAATATAAATAATATAAATAATATAAAACATATAAATAACATCCGTGCAAAAAAAAACGAACGAGCTTCGAACTGTTGGCATTTCTCGTGTCTCTGGACAAGAAACGGAAGTGCGCATGTGCAGGCGGATGCGACCTCGGTTCAGTGTGTTGCATCGAGTGCCTGTACCGCCTGTGCGTGCCATATACCACGTATTCTACCGCGAGTCTCTGGCAGTACACGCTAACGAGGAGTGCGCAGCAGATGTTACGCTCTCACCGCGTGACTCGAAACTCTAAGCCTTGTGTTGTGCTGCTTCCACGCACAGAGCGCCATCTATATGCCCAGCCCTCCTAAAATACCGTGCAAAAATAACACCGACGTTGTACGATTGGTTCGTGCTGTTTGTCTTGACGGTATATTATTAGCCGTAGCCTTGTGCTCGAGTTTACGTTTCCGCTTATACTTGATGTTATTATTGACGTTATGAGTAGATTTTCACGATCGTTTTAATCACATTTTACTAGTCTAACTATTGCATCGTCAGCTCATCAGTTTTTCAATGCTAAATTTACTACCTACTCCAAATTCAAAAATCAACACTATACTGACTGAATAACTTGGTTGGCAACAATATATATCTTTACATTGCGTATGGACCATCCGTGAAATTTCTTCACCCTAGGGTCTTTGCCACCACAATGTGTGATACCACCATAGAAATAGATAGATAACCATCTATCTATCTATCTATTGGTTATCTATCTATTTCTATGGATACCAAACACACATGTTAATTCTTTCTGCATGAATTAAAGAAGCTACATTTCAGCACCCAGTAATGCACATCTGCACATGTTGAGGAAATGCGAATAAGTTGTTTTTCTGTAAATGTTCACTGTATTCGTGTATTACAGGCTGGCTTTGCTCGAGAAGCAAGGAAATGAGGGCTGGAAAAAACGGGTAAAGCAACCAGACTTGGGCTGCATTACTAACGTGACGTTGCCATCTGGAGAGGAAGTACCCGTTCATCTCAGGGGAAAGGTGCGTGGAACTTGTATGGGTAATAAGCACATCGTATCTTCTCACTCGCCTACCATACACAGCCAGAAATATCCCATCCACGTCATGTGATTCCTTTTGTCACTGGTCCACGCCAGTGGCGGAGCTAGGATTTTTTCAGGCGGGGGGCACTGGGGGGCCTTACTTTTCGTGGGGGACAATATGATAATTTTCTTGTATTTATACTGTTACTCGACGGGCATTGTTTTAATTCAATTTTTTTTTATCAGCGATGAAATTTTTGAGGTGGGGGGGCGACTAGAAATTGTGGGGGGGTTTGTGTTGGCTCCCCGCCAGCCCCCCCTGCCGTCAGCTAGCCCCTGGTCCGCGCGAGTAAACCTGACCAGAAATCACAGTGCGGGGCGTAATTTTTGCAGGCTGTGCTCTAAATTCTGACGTGGAGGTGCACGCGTTTTGGAGAATGTTATGCAGTTGCTTATAATTCGTAGTGCAGATTATTACTTAAGGTGTTTACCCCGCCACTTTTAATGGTGTTGATAACCTAACCGTTATCTGGCTTGAGAACAGCAACTGGTCAGAGAACGATAAAATGTAGTTAGAACGTTCGTATTACACAAACTGCAGTTTGATACTCTTATTGTATTTTTGGATTAAAACCTTGCAAAATTTTATTCTTGTCAAACCAGTTGTAGTCGTGCATTAAGTGTGTAACAACTATGAAATCAAAATGGCATTACATTCACTAGTAGAAGAGGGTCAGAAAAACTCTACGTGATTATGATTTCTGAATTGTCCTAATTTGATCTACATTAGATTGCGTTTTTCACATTTCACAAGCTGTCGTATCTGCCTATGTATGCGGTCGCAGAATATCCGACACTTCCTTTTACTGTCTGGTGTCATGGTCTGTTGTGAGCCTTGACCTCTGCACTACTGGTGACGGCTTCGTGTCGATCTCTCTGTAGAGTGTCCATCGAGTCGCTTGTCTCGAGCTCGAGACGTCAGCAGGAGGGCTGGAAAAGAGGGCGGAGGGCGAGACAGTGGAAGTTTTTACGGTCGGCGGCAAGATGCGGCCTGACGATTTGACCGGACTCGCCGCCGACGGGCCTACAATTGAGGAGAACAGAAAACGCCCAGCAGAAGGATGTACTGGGTAGCCTGCGCCGCGCAGCCAGAACAGGTGGGGTGTGTTTGCAGGTGAGGAAGAGAAGTAAAGGAGGGATCATAATAATAGGCTGTATATGTGAATAGAAAAGAATTTGTTTATGCACTTCTGATAACACGATTGTTTTTTTTGTTTTTTTAATTCGTGCAATAGTTCTCGTTGTAATTGCTTAAACCATCTCGAGGTTCTAACCTTTCTGATGTGTCTTAGCATGCATTCTCACAAGGAGAGAACCAGGTTCGTGCTTATGGTATGCATACATATAGCTATATGCAAGTGCAGCCGAATCATTAATTGAAATGAGGAACCTGTATAAGGTGTAATAATCTGCAAACAAATCCAAGTAACTCGAAAATATATGTTCAGGCAATAAATTTTATTCAAGGAATTCGCATGTAAAAATATTCGAAAGAACGGCGGCTTGCTTTGATGACTGTTGATAATGTTGGGTGTGTGATTTTACAGACGCGAGTGTGAACTGAAGAAGAAGTGAGAAAACGATACGCAAAAGGATAGCTAGTGCAGCTGTAAAGACGCCTAACTGTACTGCTGCTACGAATCTAGCTGCTAGCATAAAGTGTGTCTCATCACTTGTGACGTGCCGATCTTTCCTTCTGCCAATGATAACATTTCCCGTGCGAAATGTGCAAAAAAAAAAAAAATTTCGCACTGCGAACGCAATATAGTGTGACTTTTGAAGGTGGCCAGCGTGCGTGTACTTGCATCGTAATCATATCTTCTTTGAAGCGCTAAAGGTAGAAGTACCGTGCTACGAAGGTAGCTGAGCCACGTAAGCGTGTTTCCTGATGTTGCAATCGAAGGTGAACAGGGATTTTGATGCTATCATGCCGAAAACGGGGGCCACCTACCGTGTGGCACCCGGGGCATAAAGACGGGGCACATATCATACTTCGACTCCGTGGTTGGCGGCTGAAGACACGCGGCGGACGTCGCTTAGCTTGCGCCACGGATACATGACAGCTTTTGAGAGTTCTTCGTGAGCAACCGAGTCAGAGGTTGTGGGAGCTGGAAGACAGTGACTTGCTGCAGTTGAGACAGAATCGATGACAGTGGCGGTGTAGGAGAAGGAAATCGCAATGATATGGCAGGAAGTGGGTAGAGCACGAGTGAGGAAAGGGAGGAGCGCGGAGGAGGAGGAAGGAGGAGAGGGGAAGGAGGAGGAGGGGAGAGGAGGGAAGAGAAGGAGGGAGGAGGAGGAGGAAAGGAAGAGGAGGAGGAGGATGGAGAGAGGAGGAGGCGGAGGGCACAGGCGAGGGAAAGTAGGAGGGGTGGTGGTGAATGTTGGTAGGAGTACTGGTGTAGGATGGCCAACAGGGGAAGCAAAGGGAGTGATGGACGATAGTGGGTGAGAGGTTGTCTACATAATATAGAGGAGACGTTTTCACGCTGAGAGCCGGTTGCTTCTGGAGGTATTGCATACGTGGGCACTAGGACAGTTTCACTCAAACATTAGGCGCAAGGCATGCCTCACTTTGTCTTGTGAAGTTGGTGTAGTGCACTACATGAATGAACGCGGTCTTCAGAGAAGCAGTCACTCTCAATTTTAGAAGAGTTGTGTTTGTACAAAATGCTGTAAGCGTGTGTTGCATGCTGTTAGCGTCGTGGATAGGTTTCTGCTCACAATTGTTTCGCAGATAAGATTACAATTTACATCCGCCATGCAAGCAATCACTCTCCCCCTCAGGCTGTTATGCTTGGCACACCTTGCAGCAGGAAAATGGCCTCACATGATTTCCGCAGCCATAATCTGCTTCCATAATAAAGTGTCACTGTTGTGAGAGGGTTTCTTGAAATTTGAAGCACTTGTTCCGGTTCCAGGAGAATACAATGAACGGGTACTTGAATACAATGATCGCTACATTCACGTTCCGCGTTCAATGCTGTAATAGAGAAAATGCTGGTCTGCGATGTAGAACTTGTGTATAAGCTGTTGGTATTAGAGCGACGGCCTGGGTGGAAGCTGTTGTGGTTATGCAGCTGTGGTCAACATATGGTGTGCTAAATCGTTGCGCTTGGTAGGCACCAGGTGCTGTCTGGTTAGCAACCTGTTTTCTGCTCGTTTCTGTTTAACACTTGCATTTAAGTATACAATGAAAAACTTATACTGTCGCTTGACCTTGCGTTAAGCTCTTGCTACTGATTAGTATTTGTGTAGCCATTTTGTATGCACAGGTGTTTCGTTTTCTTTACTGAAGGTTTTATTTGGAAGCCTAGGCATGGGAATGTGCACATCTGTCGATTTAGTCATTTATCATATATATACTATGATATCATATTATCAAGCGATAACTCTGGTATATCTGTGATATATACTCACAAATTTGCCAAAGTGTTTTTATTGTAGATCAGCTGTATATTAGCTGTAGTTGAGTCTGGCACTCGAGTGTATTATGTGCGTATTAAAGTGTCGTTTGATTATTATTCGGCTCGATATCTATTTTGTTAGGGTGTGGGCCGCTATATGATTATCAGGTGTTAAATAGAATTTTCATATTTATCTGAATCTAATCTAGTTCGATGTCTCCTCTCATTATTGGCGTAATGGGTTATTATATGGGAAGGTTAGGTATAAGGTTGAGACTGTTGTTGGCTAGGAAGGTTTGTTTTGACGCGTGTGTTGTGTGTTTGTTTTGTGTTTTGTTGCGTTGTGTTTGGTTGTGTACAGCCTATTAGCTGATAAAATGTTAGTTTTTGATTGGATTTTTGTCTAATTTAATTGATTTCAGTGTATTTAGTCAGATAATGAGGTCTAACTTTATGAATGTTGATGGTATTTTAGTGTGTGGATTCCGATGGTCATTAATAATAAAGTAGGTTTTTCTTATAGGGTATTGTTGGTCAGAAATGGGTAACTTTAGAATTGTGACATTTTGGTCGTCGCCGGATATCAAATTAATTAGTTAATTATTAATAAAAATTTTCACAGGGAGAGGAATTGAGCTGCCTTGGCGGAGCGCTCTGCGCTCGTCCGAATGCTCTAGTTATAAATAAGTTCATCTTAATAAAACACGTGGTAATTACACTGACGTTCAATCACGCACGATCATCCCTGCAGGCTAGCAGTCGTGCGGACCGTGAAGCCACTACGCAAGAAAGCTGGCAGTCGGAATCCGGTAAGGGCACTAGCAGCCCGCAGTGACCTTCAGCTGACCTACGTGGAGTGTGACACGGGCGAGAAGATGATGCGACTCATGCAGAAGGAGAAGAGTGAGTAGCCTTACTAAATGTACTTATATAGAGCTAATAATACCTTTTATTAGCTGTATTTTATTTATTAGTATTATTTATTTATTTTATTTCATTTTAAATTTTATTATTTATTTTATTTTATTTTTAATTTTATTATTAATTATTATATATAAGCTATTATTAATTTTATTTATTAGTATTATTAGCTCTTGATGTGACGTGTATGTATCGCCATATCAAATGTATGTCCAGTATAAGTGACCTATACATGTAACTTTACTACTTTATCGTAACGAACAAGACTTATATGTGACTTATACGTAACTTGTGCTTCAGTTGAGCTGTAGCTCAGTGTGCGATGTCACTGCCGGGGCGCTATTGTCGGGTGATGTAGAATTGTAGGTTTTTGTGAGGTTAACTATAGAGATTTTACATGATGTCATCTCACAGCTCGTGTTGAGCGGCCCTTTTGACCACACTAACTAGTAGGTTGTAGTTTTGCATGTGTTAATTCATAACCAACCTTACAGCATAATGGCATCGGGCAATACGTGGGTCTCCCTTCTATGTGGGGTATTAAAGTGGCTGTGTGCTCCCACAGAGCCCGCCAAGCCTCCATTTCAAGCGTCTGTAGTTTTGCAAATATGCTGCCTTGCCTTCTCCACTCCTACGTGCGTGCCATGTTGTCATGGCGTTCACACTCCAGTAAATACGTTATACTCGTGATTAGCACTGACAGGAGCCGATTACCGATAATCAATCGATAATCAATAATGGCGATGGTATTAGGTGTGTTAATTTATTAGTGGGCTGTTAGTGAGTAATTAAGCCAGCAAAAAGCTATTTTAGGCTTTTTGTTTTTTATGTGCGCGTGCTGTTGAATGCTGTTATGATAAAATTTGTTGGCTTGTGGTAACCTTGATGTGCCAAGCTTGAAGGTCATATTACTGTCTTCCGAAATTGCAGTACCAGTTGTTTTTGTGATTAAGTTTCATAGCTTGCGTTCACGCAAAAGAGCTCACGACATTCCTTGCATGCCTCTCACAACTAACACTTTCAAATTTTTTCAAGGAGAAACGGTGTTTTTAAGTAGAAATATTTGAGCGCAGCTGTTCATGAGTATGATTAATCAGGCTATCATTCAACATGCACACAATTAGAAACTAATGCTAAACAGTTCGATTTGTGTTCACATTATGGCGACTCTTATAACTTATGGACTATAAGGTTAGGCGGCAGATAATTCCAAATTGTTTCAGAAACATGTGGTGCAAGTAGGTGCAACAACAAAACTCAGAGCAATATGCCTTTTTTTTCGTAGTAGCGATAATGATGATGATGATGACGAAGACGACGACGGTGACAGTGACAGATCGAAATAATGGTGGGGCTGGGGTTATCATGATAATGATGATGTATAATAGTGATGTATAGATGGTGGTAGAGGTGACAATGTTGATGCTGGAGTGATGATGTAGTGGTTTCAGTGATGTTTGGTGTGATATATTCTAATGATGATTGTTGGTGACTGTGACTGTGATGGTGGTGGTGGTGGGAGGTAATGATGCTGATGCTGACGTTGAGGTGATCTGTTTTATCTACAGTCGCTGCTAAAGCACAGTACGCCGAAGCTGCATTGGCTGGGCTGGCCAGCACCGAGGACTTCAGCAGTGTGTCGCTGCGTAATACTGCCAACACTCCACGCTCCACGCCCTACAAGGCTATCAACTTGGTGATGGTGAAAGGCAGACGACACGTGCAGACGCGGCTGGTAGAACCCGTGGCAGCGTCACTCAACCACGGCGACTGCTTCATCCTCGTCACATCGTCTCAGGTCTTCCTTTGGCTCGGCGAATTCAGCAACCGCATCGAGAGAGCGAAGGTAGTGACGCTGACCCTGCAAGCGGCTAACTTACAGGGCGATGCTGTGTACAGGTTATCCTCCAGGGAAATACGGTTAAAACTGTATTATGGTCGCACAACGTGAAATACCGAAAGCGTCTTTTATAGACAGTTATAGATTTTATTCTGTGACTGACGACCAAAGAAAATACCGAAAGTGTCTTTATATGGACAGGTGTCTGATCTATATAAGGTGATTTTACTCTACAATAGCCAATCAACGAAAATTATAAGTGTACCCTTGAGACTTTTTAGACTTTAGGTGTCCTTTCCACAGAGATAACTGCTAATTAAATTCAGGTTTGGCTGTATTCGAGTGCCCACACCAAAAAGGACGTGTAATTATCAATTCTTGATATCCTCTGTACTGCCTTTGCTGGCTGTGCATAAATCAAGTAACTCGTTTCTCATTACTCATAGTAGGTGATGAACTATTAGATTATTCACACAGTTGCTACGCGTCCGGTCATCAATTACAAAGCTCAGCACAGATTCCCAAATCCACCTCACGATTAGGCCACGCCCCCATTTCAAATCATGTTGATTTTTACTAGATTTACTATTGCTTCAAAAGTTACAAAAACGAATTTCTTTGATAAACTACCTAAATGTAAGTAATATTATGGTAAAAACTTATTGTTTATTGTTTTTTACTGAAAAAATATAGTTGGATTCACATAAGAAATATATGACCGGACGCGTAGCTTGGGAGCTTGGCGTCCGGTAACCGGACGCGTAGCCACAGCCTAGATTATTTAGCTACGCCCCTGGTCCACGCAGAAGTAACACCTGACAGAAATCACGTGCGGCGTAATTTTTGCAGCTGTGCTGTAATTCTGACTAGTGCAGCGTTTTTGGAGAATGTTATGCATTACTTTAAAGCGTAGTGCAGTTAATTACTGAAGTGTTTCCCCCCCACTTTTATGGCCATTGAATTACCTACCGTTATTGCTTGAGTAACAGCAACTGTCTAGAGTAACGATAAAATGTATTAGAACCTTCGTATTCACCAAAACATGCAAGTTTGATTACCTTCATTGTATTTTCATTAAAACCTTGCAAAATTTATTCTTGTCATCCAGTTGTAGTCGTGCATGATTGAGTGTGTAAACAACTATGAAACACAAATGCATACATCACTGGTACAAGAGGGTCAGAAAAACTTCTACTGGATTATGATTCTGATTCCTAAATTTGATCACATTAATGCCGTTTTCACATTCACAACTTCGTATTCTCATATTATCGGTCCACAATCCACACTTCTTTTACTTCTGGCTCATGTCTGTTTGAGCCTTGACCTCTGCCTGACTGGTGACCTTGGTTCTTCTCTCTCGTAGAGTGTCATCGATCGTCTGTCTCAGCTCGAGACGTCACAGGAGGGCTGGAAACAGAGGCGGCCAGAGCGAGACAGTGCGCAGTTTACAGTCGCCGGCAAGATGGGCCTGACCTTTGACACAAGCTCGCCGCCGACGACGCCTAACAGATTGAGGAAGAACAAGAAAACGCCCCCGCAGAAGGTGTACATGGGTAGCCGCCCGCGCAGTCAGACAGGTGGGTGTGTTGCAGGGTGAGGGAAGCAAGAGTAAAGGGTAGGATAATAATAATAGGCTGTATGCACAACAAGCGTGAATAAAAACAATTTGTTTTTATTCACTTCTGATAACAACGATTGTTTTTTTTGTTTTTTTAAATTCGTGGCAATAGTGTCTCGTTTGTATGTGCTTAAACCATCTCAGTCTAACCTTTCTGATGTGTCTTATACATGCATTCTCACACAGGAGAGAAAGCAGGTTCGTGCTTATGTATGCATACATATAGCTATATGCAAGTGCAGACCGAATCATTAATTAAATGACGGAACCTGTATAAGGTTATCACTCTGCAAACAAAATCCAAGTACACGTAGAAAATATATGTGTCAGGCAAAAAAATTTATCAAGGAAATCAATGTAAAAAATATTCGAAAGAACGGTGGCTTGCTTTGGCGACTGTTGATAATGTTGGGTTGGTGTGATTTACAGACCCGAGTGTGGAACTGAAAGAAGAAGTGAGAACACCGATACGTAAGAGCGATAGCCTTAGTGCAGCTGGTAAGACCCCTAAATGACTGCTGCTATCATTAGCTGCTACATCAAGTGTGTCTCATCACATTTGTGACGGCCGATCTTTCCTTCCGCCAGTCGTAACATTTCCCGTGCGACATGTGAAAAATTCGCACTGCGAACGCACATCTAGTCGTGTCTTTTGAGGTGCCAGCGTACGTGTACTTGCATCGTATATCAATATCTTCTTTGAAGGTGGCTAAAGGTAGAAGATACCGTCTACGAAGGTAGCTGAGCACGGAAGCGTGTTTCCTGATTGCAGATCGAAAGGTGAACAGCGAGATTTTGACTCCTATCATGCCGAAAACAGAGGGCGCCACCTACCGTGTCGCCACCGCAGTGAAAGACGGCAGCACATATCATACTTCGACTCCGCTGGTTGGCGCTGAAGACCCAGCGGCGACCCGCGTTGCCTTGCCGACCACCAATGATGACAGCTTTGAGAAGTTCTTCGTGAGCAAGCAGGAAGGTCAGAGGTTGTTGGAGCTGGAAGACAGCGACCTTGATGCAGTGAAGACAGAATCGAGTGACAGGTGGGTGAGGAGAGAGACATCGCAAATGATCTGCAGGGAAGTGGGTAGAGCAACGAGTGGAGGAAAGGGAGGAGCAGCAGGAGGAGGAGGAGGAGGAGGAGGAGGTGGAGGAGGAAGGGGAAGAGAAGGAGAAGGAGGAGGAGGAGGAAGAGGAGGAGGTAGGATGGAGAGAGGAGGAGGCGGAGGGCACAGGCGAGGGAAAGTAGGAGGGGTGGTGGTGAATGTTGGTAGGAGTACTGGTGTAGGATGGCCAACAGGGGAAGCAAAGGGAGTGATGGACGATAGTGGGTGAGAGGTTGTCTACATAATATAGAGGAGACGTTTTCACGCTGAGAGCCGGTTGCTTCTGGAGGTATTGCATACGTGGGCACTAGGACAGTTTCACTCAAACATTAGGCGCAAGGCATGCCTCACTTTGTCTTGTGAAGTTGGTGTAGTGCACTACATGAATGAACGCGGTCTTCAGAGAAGCAGTCACTCTCAATTTTAGAAGAGTTGTGTTTGTACAAAATGCTGTAAGCGTGTGTTGCATGCTGTTAGCGTCGTGGATAGGTTTCTGCTCACAATTGTTTCGCAGATAAGATTACAATTTACATCCGCCATGCAAGCAATCACTCTCCCCCTCAGGCTGTTATGCTTGGCACACCTTGCAGCAGGAAAATGGCCTCACATGATTTCCGCAGCCATAATCTGCTTCCATAATAAAGTGTCACTGTTGTGAGAGGGTTTCTTGAAATTTGAAGCACTTGTTCCGGTTCCAGGAGAATACAATGAACGGGTACTTGAATACAATGATCGCTACATTCACGTTCCGCGTTCAATGCTGTAATAGAGAAAATGCTGGTCTGCGATGTAGAACTTGTGTATAAGCTGTTGGTATTAGAGCGACGGCCTGGGTGGAAGCTGTTGTGGTTATGCAGCTGTGGTCAACATATGGTGTGCTAAATCGTTGCGCTTGGTAGGCACCAGGTGCTGTCTGGTTAGCAACCTGTTTTCTGCTCGTTTCTGTTTAACACTTGCATTTAAGTATACAATGAAAAACTTATACTGTCGCTTGACCTTGCGTTAAGCTCTTGCTACTGATTAGTATTTGTGTAGCCATTTTGTATGCACAGGTGTTTCGTTTTCTTTACTGAAGGTTTTATTTGGAAGCCTAGGCATGGGAATGTGCACATCTGTCGATTTAGTCATTTATCATATATATACTATGATATCATATTATCAAGCGATAACTCTGGTATATCTGTGATATATACTCACAAATTTGCCAAAGTGTTTTTATTGTAGATCAGCTGTATATTAGCTGTAGTTGAGTCTGGCACTCGAGTGTATTATGTGCGTATTAAAGTGTCGTTTGATTATTATTCGGCTCGATATCTATTTTGTTAGGGTGTGGGCCGCTATATGATTATCAGGTGTTAAATAGAATTTTCATATTTATCTGAATCTAATCTAGTTCGATGTCTCCTCTCATTATTGGCGTAATGGGTTATTATATGGGAAGGTTAGGTATAAGGTTGAGACTGTTGTTGGCTAGGAAGGTTTGTTTTGACGCGTGTGTTGTGTGTTTGTTTTGTGTTTTGTTGCGTTGTGTTTGGTTGTGTACAGCCTATTAGCTGATAAAATGTTAGTTTTTGATTGGATTTTTGTCTAATTTAATTGATTTCAGTGTATTTAGTCAGATAATGAGGTCTAACTTTATGAATGTTGATGGTATTTTAGTGTGTGGATTCCGATGGTCATTAATAATAAAGTAGGTTTTTCTTATAGGGTATTGTTGGTCAGAAATGGGTAACTTTAGAATTGTGACATTTTGGTCGTCGCCGGATATCAAATTAATTAGTTAATTATTAATAAAAATTTTCACAGGGAGAGGAATTGAGCTGCCTTGGTGGAGCGCTTTGCGCTCGTCCGACTGCATCTATTATACATAAGTTCATCTGTAATAAACCACGTGGTAAATATACAACTGACGTTCAATCAGGCCGATCATCCGCTAGAGGCTACAGTTCGGGCGGACCGTGAAGCACTACGAAAGAAGCTGGCAGTCGGAACCCGTGAGGGGCACTACAGCCCGAGTGACCTTCAGCTGACCGTGACGTGGAGTGTGACACGGGCGAGAATGATGAGCGACTCATACGGAAGAGAAGAGGGTAGCCTACTGAATGTACTTTATATATTAGCTATAATACGTTTTATTAGCTGTTTTTATTTATAGTCATTATTTATGTTATTTTATTTCATTTTAAATTTTATTATTATATTTTTTAATATTTTATTTTATTCTTAATTATTATATATAAGCTATTAGTAATTTTATTTATTAGTATTATATAGCCTCTTGATGTGACGTGTATCGCCATGGCTAATGTTGTCCAGTATAAGTGACCTATACTGTAACTTTACTACTTTATCGTAACGAACAAGACTTATACCTGTGATTTATAACGTGACTTGTGCTTCAGTTGAGCTATACTCCGTGTGCGATGTAAGCTGCCGGGTGTATTGTTTCCGGTGATGTGTGATGTTGTATGGTTTTTGTGAGGCTACTAGGAGGATTTTGACGGTGATGTCATCTGACAGCTCGTGTGAGCGGGTTAGAGCCTGTTGACACGACTACCTTAGTAGGTTGGTTAGTTTTGCACTGTGTTTAATTCCATAAACCGAATCTTACAGCATTCATGTGGCACTGGAATCGTGGATCTCCCTCTATGTGGGGTATAACGTGGCTCTGTGCATCCTAGCGGGCCAAGCTCCATTAAGGCGTGTGTTATTTGCAAATTATGGCAAATATGCTGTCTTGCATTCTCCACTCTAAGTGCGTTGCAATGTTGTCATGGGTTACACTCAGAAATACGTTTATAGCTCGTGATCGTCATAGGGACGAGGGGAAGCCGATTTAGATAATCGCAGTCGATAAGTTCAATAAATAGGGATGGGATAGTGTGTTTAATTATTAGTTGGGTCTGTTAGTGATCTTAATTCAGCAAAAAGCTATTTAGGCTATTGTTTTTTGATGTGCGGCGGTGCTGTTGAATGTGGTGTATGAAATAAAATTGTTGCTTGTAGTGGTAACCGTTGATGTGGCGCAAGCTTGCGGGGTCATATTACTGGTTGTGTCCGAAATTGCAGGTACCAGTTGTTTTTGTGATTAAGTGTTAACGAT